GGAGAGAACAATCATGGGAGAAGGAAGGGCTGCTTATGCACAGGGAGACAGCTCAGGGCGCAGGAGAGTATGGAGGGATGGACACTGGGAAGAGGTAACTCTGGGGAGGAAGTGGGAGGGGAGCTGCTGCATTGTAAACTTTGGTCAATATCATGATAGAAAGTATATGTGAACTGCTGTATGAAAAGTGAATTTACTCTGTAAATCTTCACCCAAATCAAAATAAAATTTAAAAAAGATAAGTGATAAAACCAAAAAAACCAAACCCACTGCCGTCAAGTGGGATCCAACACATAGCTACCCCCTCCTTGGGTTTTCTGAAGTGGTACCACTATGGAAATAGATTGCCCAACCTTCCTTCCAAGGAGTGGCTGGTGGGTTTGAACCGCCATCCTTCTGGTTAGCAGTCAAATGCCTTAGGCACTTTCCCACCAGAGCTCCTTGAAAATCCTAAGAAATCACAAAAGGAAAAAAAGTGGTCATCTACAAAAGTAAAACAAATTAAGTCAGTGTTTAGCAAAAGTTCAAACGATGAAGGATTTATACCTCGTCAAACCCCCCATTAAATCAGAAGGCAGACATCACTGTCACATATAAGGGCTAAAAATTTGATTTCCCATACACCCTTTTTAGGTAGGTTACTTGTGAACATACCTCATCAAATGTGGGAAACACCAAGAAAGAGAAAAAGTAGGTAATCAAAACCAGTGGAATGAGCCAGATAAGATAAGTGAGTCCAGATAAGATAGTCTTAGACATCCTAGGATGTAAGTAAGCACTACTAAAGAAGAACAAAGTAGGAAGCCTTACACTCCACAATCTCAAAACCTACTACCCTAACACTCTATGCCCCCAATCTCAATACCTACTACATAGCCACTTGCACTAAAAACAGCCAGTACAGGTAAAACAACAGACATACAAATCATTGGAACAGAATTGACAACCCAGAAGCAAATCTATCCATGGAGGAATAGCTGATCTTTGTGAAGGGCTAAAATGCATTAAATGGGGAACAAATAGTTTCTAATAAATGATGCTAGCAAAACTGGATACTCACTTGTAGCAAAATGAAACAGGACCTGTGTCTCACCTCCTACACAAAAAAGGAACTCAAGAAGCAGGATCAAAGACAACATAAAACCATAAAGACCATCAAAGAAAAAACGGACAAACTTAGGGCCCTAATTCATGACATAGATACACTATCAAACATAACTAAAAATGCACAAACACCGGAAGACAAAAAGATGACTGGGACCTCCTAAAAATTAAAACACTACAAGCATCAAAAAATTTCACCAAAGGAGTAATAAGAGAACCCACAGATTGGGGTAAAAAAACCCTGTCAACGATCTGTCAGAGAAGGGGCTAATCTCTAAAATTTATTTAAAAAAAAAAAAACCAAAAACTTCACAACTGAAAGACAAATATTCTAATTAATGGGCAGAGGATACAAATAGACACTTTACCAAAGAAGATGTTCAGGCAGCTAACAAACATGAAGAAATGCTTGTGATCATTAGCCACTGGAGAGATGCAAATCAAAACAATATTGATATCATCTTACCCCAGCATTAACAACAAAGTTCAAAAACAATGAGAAACAACATGCTGGCAAGGGTGTGGAGAAACTGGAGCCCTCATAAGCTGCTGATGGGACTGTCAAATGATATAACCACTATGGAAAACAGAATGATACTTTTTAAAAGGTGGAAATAGAAATACCGTATGATCCAGCAATCCTACTACTAGATATATATCCTAGACAAATAAGAGCCATGACACAAACAGATATATGCACACCTATGTTCATCACAGCACTGTTCACAATAGCAAAAGATGGAAACAACCTAAATGCCCATCAGTGGAGGAACAGATCAACAAACTATGGTGTATTCACACAATGGAATACTATGCAATGTTAATAATAGTGAACCTGGGAAACATAACATGGATGAACCTAAGAACATTACGCTGAGTAAAATTAGTCACAAAAGGTCAAATATTGTATGAGGCTACGTACAATATTTTTATAAAAAGTCAAGGGTTTCACACAAAAAGAAATATTTCTGATGGTTACCAGGAGTGGGAGGGGAAGGGAGAATAAACCATTAAAGTCAAACTATCAATGTCCATGGACTGCTGATCTATTAGGGGCAAATAAATAAATAATAAGACATCCTAAATGGCAGTACTGTAATAAGCCCCAGAAAGTCCAGTTAACAGAATAATTAAGACACAGGCAATATTAAGAATGTGGGGCAACTTTCCCCAAAAGGAAGAGCAGCAACAGTTACATTCAGAAATGAATCTGTACAATGAGGAACAGCAAGCTAAAATGTGTCATAGGTTTGAGCACCTGGTGGAGAGTATCAGAAGCCTTCCATGCATGTTAGGAATATTTGACTCTGGCAGAACAATCACAAACTTGTAACCATGAAAGTAAAATCGTAGTACATGATTTGTTTCTACAGTGAAATTTTTTTATGTCATGGAAATAATACTTTATTAGTGTTCAGCTTTTAGAAACAACCAACATAAAACATAGTTACAGAATTCAGAGCACAAATGCTGTTAATCCCTGTGTATAGTGGACATGAGCACTACTCCATTCATAAAATCAGAAGCTGATGTTACAAAATGACAACGTTAATCAATAGAAGACAGTGATAAAATGATGAAATGAACAAGCATATTATAGGTGCGCTAAATCCTCATCTTAGCAGAAAGGCAACAGAGAACTGAAATTGATTGTAAGAAAACAGTAATACAAGCTATGAGCTAAGTGAAGGACCAAAACCAATGGGTAAAGTTGCTGCCTTTGGAAAAGGTTATGAGAACTGATGGTTTCTATCATAAGCCCTTGTTGATTTTCACTTTTTTATGTATATATATATATATTTTTTTTTTAGAGGCAAAACTTTCACTTTAGATACTTTCATTAAAAAAAAAAAAAAAAAAAAATCAGTATAGCTAATTCCTGCATGGAGAACTTTTTAAAAACACTTCAGTAAAAAAAAAAAAAAAAAAAGGGTAAGAGGTGTCTACTCAATAAGTTAGATGTTTTGTATACTAATAGAACAAAAATTTGCTTCTGAGAAAAGGGCCTAATAGAAGTAAGTAGAGAGCTAGAACTGTAAATTGGAAAGACAGCATTAGAAACATAATTGGGCTATTATCTTTACTTCTCATCTCATCTTAAAAGTGTGTTTTAATTTATTATAGCGGGAATTTATGAGCTGATCCAATCAATGACACGTATCTGTTCTCTTCTATACCTCCCCAGAGTGATGGTGTGCAACAAACAACCTACCTCGCCCAGCAGTACTGCCATAAAGCAGTAAGAGAGATCAGTAAACTTCGGTCATCCCCAGAAAGAGATGCCCTAATTCACCTTTCAGAAACTGTACTCACAAGAGATAAATGACAACTCCTTCTGTTCTTTCTGGCAGCTATTTTACCAGACTGTGCCTAAAGAATTTGTTAAATACACTTTGTTTGTTTTCACGTGCAGATAACCAAAAATCATTTCAACCTTACTGATAGCAATTTTTTTAAAAAATTGGCATAGTTTTTCAGAAAACTAAACTGTATTGAAGAAAGCCATAACTATGTCACCATCTGAATCTGTCATTCTGGTCCCATAAACTCTATAATCAAGATATCTTGATGGTTTTATATGGTATTGTTTACAATGTTAATACCCACATGTAAAGCCATTATGCAAATAAATAATATTAAAATTCAAATGTTTGTCTTGTTTTCACCATTACTGAAAAGGTAAAGAGAGTGCAACAGGAGTGATGGTCAGAGAGAACCGTGAAGACTACATTTAAGTCCATATTAGTTAAGCTTAAACAGTATCGAGAATTTATAGAGGAGAATGGTTTATTATAAAAGACTGTACATAAAATTAAGACAACGATTTTATACAAATAATTAAGAGAACATTCCACTCAAAAAATGAAAAGCAGAAGACAGCTAGATAATCACTAATGATGTTGAAGTCATGTTTAAAATGAAGAAAGGTAAAATGCATATCAAACAGTCCATTGATTTGGTAGTAATAATGGTCTTTAATTTTCAGAAATAAATGTTTTCCATCCACTATTCTTACCATTCATTATGCTGTTAGAAGTCTGTATCATCCAGTACATAATTAATTTGAAATCCAAACAAATCCTCAATACACAGAAACCCACACTTGAGTACTCTAATATCCTAAGCAATGTAGAATTATACACAAGGTAAGAAGAGAAAATATCCCTCTAACCCTCCTTTCAATTAAGAGGAGACTCACAAAGTGCATGTTTTGCATTTCATTTATGTCAAAAGACAATACAAATCTCGTGGTTAGGTATATCCCTGCTCACTGATTAATGATTCGCCTTTTTTCCCCAACTATTTCATTTTAAACTTTTTATGTTGCTACTGCCAGATAAGGGATTAAATAGTGCCTATTCAAAAATTAACTGCATCCACTTTTACAAAAGTAATATGTAAAAGATATTTATAATTTCTTTTCATTGAACCATTATACAACAGTCTGTTATAAAACTGAAGGATGGATCTTCCAATCCTTAAGAATGAATGTATACATTCATGACACATTTTCTTAGCTTTGAAAACCACAGTTCAGTAGATTGGCTTGTAAGTAACCATCTCAGATTTTAAATCTGCAATAATCAGTCACATTGCTATGGGGACAGAATGAGAGAAGGCTAAATTTTTTTCCAAAGTCAATATACTGAGAAAATAGAACCGTAATTCTCCAATAAATCACCTTTTATTTATTTATTTTAAAAGCAAACCAATGAAGGCAAGGACAAAGACCTTTGGTTCACTTATGTATTTATGAATGAAAAAAATTCATAATGCAAATTCACTCATTGAAAAACTCAGGTACAAATTACAATATTACAGATCACCCTTTCTGTTTGTTTTGTTTCACATGGAGACCTTAGAGACTCAATTCATTTCAAGAGAGTACTCCAAGTTAAATAATACACAAATTGGAAGCATCTTGGATTTTTGTATATTTCAATACGTAAATTTGTATGCATGCTTTAAACAAATAGTATAGTTCAAGAATGAGAGAATCTAAACAAACAAAAATCTGACCAGCACCAGCATTTACATTTTTTGATTTTAGTATTAGCCTGACTGTTAGTAACCATGCTGCACTGAAAGATGTAATGGCACAATCTGAATCATGATTTAAATAATAGACCCCACTTCCCCAGAATATTTAGGCTGGTCATGAAGTTAACAATGCATAAGTAAATACATAAGCATAATCAGTTACAGACAGCTTCTTGTATAAATTGCTGTTCAGCAATATACAAACTGCCTCAGAGATTTATGCTTACAGGTAGACATTCAATTATTCCGATAAAACAGCATGTCCTGAAAATATGGGCACGTTTGAAAACATATTAAGACAATTCTGTTAGCCATAATAGTCCCACAGTATGACTGAGTAATAATGAGAATCTACTTTAAAAGCAAAAAATTTAATCAGTATAGTGCATGATTGATTCAACATAGTTCCCAGGGAACAGACCAGTCACTCGATTGCAGACTCCTTCATACCAGCCATCATCATTCTTCTTTATGACATAAATGATTGCACCCTCCATAAACGATAGCTCATCATCCTTGTCTTTTGTATAGTCATATATTGCAACAACTATGGAGAAAAGAGTTGAAATAGTACATGAGAGCATTATATCAAAAATTTGAGTTTTATGATTTAATGCCAATTAAATCCACAGATACAGCAAAATCAACCATTTTAATGAAGATTCTTAATTCTTACTATGTGCAGGTATATGTGGGTCAGAGGCCAACATCATTGGCTTGATTAGGGCAAAATTAGCAAATCAATTAGATTAAATTCAACAACTGCTACCAATCTCTTGGAAAAGGTCTCTGAATTTTGGGATTTATTAGCTATTTCTATTCATTCAAGTATCTACTAAGTGCCTACTATATGTAAAGCACCATTTTTAAAAATAACTACTGGGTAAAGCCGCATAGCTATTCAGTAAACCAGGCAACCCAAGCTACCTGATTTGAAAATACACATACTGGGAATTAACTATCATCCCACTCATACCCAAGGAAAATATTCATGTCATTTATGTGGCTATTCCCTGTTTGTTTTCAAAGGGGGGAATAAGTGAATAAAGTCCCATTAGAAGTTCTGGTGGTGTAGTGCCTAAGGCATTTGACTGCTAACTAGAAGCTTGGCGGTTCAAACCCACTCCTCGGAAGAAAGATTGAGCAATCTACTTCCATAGTGATGAGCTGGTAGTCAAGTATAAATCATTTATGCCACCCAGGGACTTAGACAGCCACCTAATCCCTCTGCAATCTTCTTTTCCCAAATTTAGAAACTGCTTTCTAACTATCCTTCATTATAGGTGCACTTTTTAGATAATTCATCCTTCTGACTATTCGCCTTTGATGTCATTCCTGTTTACAAGATCCTGAAATGTGGTACTCAGAATTAGACATAAGACTATCTATTAGAATGAAGTTAAGTTAATGTAACCTAAGACTTATCTGGCTTTTGGAACAGTCACCCTACTGATTTACATATTCTAAGATACATGGGAATCTAAATGTAAAATTGAATATTTAAGCCTTTCTGAACAACGTGTAAAATATTTACTGTTTAGAATATAAAAATAGAAAGTGGAAAATTTACTTTATCCATATGTTCAAAACTGCTAAGAGAGAATACCTCAGTTCTCAAGAGCTACAGCTACTTGCTTAAAATGTGTTTAACTCAATTTTCAAATTTCAAAGGAATCAAATGTGATCAATTAAATTATAAGCGTTTTTCAGAATTCCATACAGATATAGATTCAAAAATAACACTGAATTGATAAAGCAAATAAATTCTCTAGAAACAAGTTTTGATTCTTCCCACCCACCATTTCTTAAATTGATAATTAAAGTGAATGTCTGCTAATGTGGACTTTAGAATTAATTTTGTGATATAAACTGCTAGTGATTTATCTTCCCATGTACAAAATATCCTAACTGAAAACCTAACAGAGGCTTTTTCTCCATGATATTCACCAATACATTTAAACATATTTAGATATAAAAGATTTGTTTTTATTATATGTGGTGTAGTAAATTACTTAGTGTGGCTTTTCTACCCATAAGTCTTTGTAAACTCCAAGGTGGGATTTTCTATGAGCAACTGAGGAGCTCCTGATTGCTGAAGTTGTCCACCTGGAGTATTTCTGTTGGGCGTGGCACAAAACAATGTTCTGGGAGGTGCCCGCTCGCTCTCAAGTGCTTAGAGTTCTGATGCTATGATTGGCTAGTTTGACCACTCTGCCGGGCTCAAAAGGAGGCCTCCTAGAGGCAGAACGCTCTCTGACTGTTGGTTGAGGAAGACCTGCTGCTGAAAGAGACAAGGGCTCCTGAGACACATGTTGCTGGGAAAGAGATGCAAGAGACACGCATTGCTGAGTGAGACACCTAGGGACCAGCACTGCTGAGAAAGAGACTGCGAGAGACTGTTGGCTGAGGGACGGTGGGCTGGGAGAGAGACTGAGCATTTTTCCTGAACCTGAATTGTAGCCTGTGGTGCTTCCCTAATAAACCCCATAATCTGTGAGCTGTGTGTGGCCACTGCAGTGAATTACTGAACCCAGGAGAGAGGTGGTGGGTGCTTTGGGAGGAACGGTTGGAGAAAGGGCTGGAGGGAGGCAGCATGCCTGGCCTTGCAGTAATAGGCCTTGGGCTATTGATGGTGATTCTGACCTCCTCTTGTGGGATTAGAGGAGGTCAGAACATGTGGCCTCCTTGTCCTTTTTGCATTATAAGAGCTAGAAAAAGAGTTTTAAGTTGTAAGAATTTACTTAAAGTTTTAAGACTTTACTACTACTTTTTTTTTTTTTTTTGGTGCTTTAGTTGTTTCATTTATAAAATGAAACAGACAGAATAAGCAAGTTATTCTCCAGCTGGGTGCATATATAGTTTGAAAAAGCATTTCTAAAGTTGTAACTTTAATTTTAAAAAATAAAGGAAGACTCCTCCCATTTTATTGGAGAATAACACAAAGTACAGAAAATAAGGTTCAACTAAATTTTATCTTGGCTGTTAAGCAGTTCAAAGGTTGAGAAACATTGAAGTAGGTGGTCTTTGTATTTCTAAAATTCTGTAATTAGGTTACTTTCCTTCATATCAACTCAATGACTGCAACATACCTTTCTCAATATAATTCTTGGGGGCCCAAGCAGGATCTCCATCTGCATATGGATCATTATACTGAACTACTGCAGCCTCCTCATCTTCATAATCCACTGGAGGTGGTGGTGGTGGAGGTGGAGAATCATCAAACATGGGAATGTCATCTGGTGGAGGTGGTGGTGGTGGAGTTGGACTATCAGCAACTGAAAGGATTCAGAAAATTAATTTGAATCAGAAATTAGACTAAATGGAAATTTGTAAGTTAACAACTTAAGAAAGCTCTAACTCATATACAGCATGCACTATAATAACACATGCAGTGATTACAAATAAAAGCTTGGTGTGTTAAAGCTTATGCCTAGTAGCATTTAAGAATAATTTTGTAACAATAAAGTGAGCTAAAAATAACAGCATCAGGAAGTACTACAAATTTATCAATGCAAGAGGTTAAAAGACAATGTCTCTTTTCGTAAGGATTATAGGAATAATTTCCTTATTCCAAGGTTCATGTTAAGACTCATTAGTGACACACAGATTATTCAGATCATTTAGATTAGGTGTCTAAAATAAGTTTTATGTCTTATTTGTCATCTGGACCATAGTAATGTTATATATAACATAACATTAATGGTTTCATAACCTTGTACTCATTCCTGTCCCTGATTTTTTGTTTTAATTCCTACTTATTTGTAAGAAAACTACAAATAAGTCTTAATGGATGGATTTTTGTTTATTTGTTATTGTTTGAGGGGTAAGGGGTATTAGATCTCCTATGTGTAGGTTTTCTATTCTTTATTTAAAATTAACAAAAGAAAATTAAATTTAAAAATTAAGTAATTCCCAACTAGTAGATAATATCATTAAATATATTCTAAAGTTAATGTTTTAATGTAGAAACCAAGATAAGATTTTATATTATTACTAGTAAAACATAGGCATGGGATGAGGGAAAGACTAGATCATAAGGATCCAATTTTATAAGGATAAACCCACAAATGAGACTTAAAAAAATAAAGTGTTGAGGGAAGAGTTAATTAAAAAAATCAATAAACAAACATAGAAGAGCATATACCGTGCAAAACAATAAAAAAATGATTCATACTGCAAATTCTAGATGGCTGCAGTACGTGCTTGAAACAATCAATGGAGTAAACAGTAAAGGGGAAAATGCCAGTCTAGAACTACGTTCACTGAACTATCATGATAAATCAAACCAGCTGCCTTTGAGTCAATTCTGATTCATGGTGACTCATATGTGTCACAGCAGAACTGTGCTCCATAGGGCTTTCAATGGCTGGTTTTTCACAAGTTTTACCAAGTAACAAATGCATCCAATACTAAGGTATTCGAAGCTGGAATACAGCTACTATGTAATTTAAACTTCTGATCCACAAATATCTTTAGAAGTATAAAAGACACAAAAATGATCTGATACAAAATGATACAGGAATTATACAACAGATGCAGGGGGAGACATTCATTCTACAAACACACTGACTTGTGCCAATTTTAAGGCCTATTTATGTGAGAGGGGGAAGCAAACATAATCTCTTTGTAATATACATTTTCAAAATTTATTACCACCTACTTATAATAATATGCTCAGAATATAAGCCAGGGAACCAGATTTAAAGCATCTGCAGATAATCACCCTTCAAGTCTATGATTTCTGTTTTGGGGTATGAAAAAGACCACTTATAAAGACAAATCTTGTATGGTGATGCTTACTCCAATAGCTATCAAACAGATGTACAATTTATTTTCCACCCAATCCTGAGTTCATTTTATCCCTGCCCATACCTCTTCCACAAAGCCTTCTGGTATTATTAAGGGGAAAGAAAAATGGGTCCTGGCATCAACTAGCCACAGCTCATATCCTTAATATGACTATGTGTAAATTATATATGCTTGCCTGAATTCTTAAACTGCATTTACTCTGCATATACACATAACTTACTAATTTGTGCCAACTGTTGTGACTACAATGGCTTATCTTCAAATTATGTACACAGTGGCAGGAGTTTGGTCATTCTCATTCTCTGTACATAATACTTTGTCTAGGAGCAAGAGTAATCAGATAGTTCAACAATGCTTTCTGGTGTTAATCATAAACAGATGTAAATACTCTACTGACTTTTTCAGTGGCTCATTCCTTCAAACTGAAACACACTTAATAGGTTAACTGCTACATGCATTCATAATCACCAACTTCTGAGTGCTATCAGAAACCAGATATTTAAGAGATGACAGACATGTAAAATTTCTACTTTATGATATTTAAAGTAGTGATATATAATCACCAACTCTCCTAATATACCTTTACAACATAGATGCCATATAGTGATGGGAAATCTGTGACACAGGAATAACTCACCAATGTAAGTTCATGTGGTTGGTAAAATGAACTAACACAAAGACCATGGATGCCTAGAAAAATGTACATTAATACTAGATTTCTATAAAAAGAGCCACCAAAAAGCTAGGCAATGAGCTTTGGATCCACACAATTCATGTTTCATAAAGCCTATTTTTAAATATTTACAAAAATTCACAGCCTTAGCTTTTAAACTCTTGCAGCAGTAAGGACTAACAATTTATTCTTATTCACTTATTTGGGAAAAGATTTATTTACTTTAAAATGCTTAAATACATTAGAGTTTTCAAAAAGGTTTTAACAATAAGGTTGGTTTACACTCAGTGATTTGAAATTACAATTCTAATAAAAAGCCCATCAGATCATACATTTCTAAAAGGTAGGGACTTTTTCTTAAACTACTGTTATTCTTTCTAAAGCCCTGCATGTAACATTAAATAAACAAGTATTCAACTGGAGGAAGAGAGGGAATGGGAGAATAACACAAAAAGTTCAGCAAAAGCTGAAGAATAGAATTTCTCACAATATAGTCTCCTGAAAAATGGGCTGGTCAAGAGGACTGCACATTTGTTCATATCATGCCGAGGTTTGGTCTCAAACAAAGTTAGTGAGACCATCTTAATCACACCAGCCATTTTGGCACAATATAATTCAGTCATGGTGGATTTTTTCATTTTGCCTGACAATGTCTACTGCAATCAAGTACTAGGACTATACATCTGCTGGCACCTCAAAATGATCAGACAGTAAGATAAGCTGATTTATCCTAATTAAACTCATATATGCAAAACAATTCCCAAAAAAATATCATTAAGCCTGACCTTCATTTAGGAAAGACCTAACAAAGTCTACAGGGTTGTTTGTCAAAATTAACCTTTAAGGGCCTGCATGTAGGCAAAACATGAAGAGGGCCCCAAACTGCTGATCGATCATTCTCCCATACATGGATATAATTTACTCACTCTTGAAGACTCATTCTTATCCTAATAAGAAACCTTTATATAGGTTCAAAATCATTTATGTGTAAAATTCTGAGGCTTTTTCTAAAATTTTTATTATTGGGGGGGAGGGCTGTCCTATCCTGATTGCATAATAAATTTACTCTCACACTATAATTAATCTATATTACTAAACCTGTTGGAAACAAAATACACAATGTTTTCTAACTAATTCCCTTAATAACTGTAAGAACTAGTAGTTTCTATACAATTTGACATTTTGTGTTTGATTACACTTTCCTTAAGAATCTGCAAAGAACTGATTTCATGTTCTAGATCATTTAAATACCTAAGAAAGTTGCAGTTTGAAATTTATATAGGTCAGTAATCATGCACACAAGAGAAATAACTGAAGACCGTGCTCTTCAGTTTCAATAACATATTTGCCCCTATTTTCAAGATAGGATTAGCTTCTTAATAAAGGTAAGGAAAATGATGACTCATCAGCCATGCATGCTATAAGGAGACAGCCTCTACTCTTTGGTAGCTCAGTTTTTCCAAACTTACTGTTTTCCTGCACCCTGGCCACGAAGCCTGTGAGAGGTATCTGTGGAGTCAACTGAGGCATAGGGGGAGGGGGTGGAGCAATAGAAACTGGTAGCAACAACATGGTATGGGGGGAAGTAAAACAGATAAAGGAAAGAAAAGGAAACAAACAAAAAGCAGAAGTCAGTTACAAGGACCACAAACTAAGTATGCAAAGAACAGTTTGCAAATGAAACAAAACAAAACAAAAAAACAAAACAAAAACCTGCAGAACCTTCTTCAAGTTCATTTTCTATGAGTGAAAACCTAAGGCTGACTTATGCTTAGCCAATTGGTTAATTTTATAAAAGAACAAATACACTTAGTTTAATGCTAATGTTACATTGTTTGGGGAAGTTGTAATTTATCATCATATTCACTTTTGCGAAATGTAGTTTTCAAATTCTAAGGAAAGACTTCTAAAAATTAGATAACCATACATATAGAAGTTTCAATAGAATTGTCTTTACTATATCTCTGTAACCTAACAAGCTTGTCCAATTTTAAGATAATGTTGTGAATAAACCCAGATAAACAAACACATTAAGGAACAGCTGTTTCTGTAAGTAAACATATCAATCACAGGTTTCCTTTAAAAACAATTATTAATCTAGATTTATGCACAGCTTCCCAGGTAAAGCCTTTGTTTGTAAAACGTTATCATCACATTGTATGTTGAAAATTTTAAAGGCATCACTCCTAAATTTACTAGGGAATAAGAGTGCTCAATATACCACATAAATTGTTCACTGAGTTTCAGGGATTAAGATATCTCAAAAACAGCCTGATGTTAAGAAAAAGAAGACTTGATTACCAGTAAGTTAAAATATGCAAGTATTTTGCATTGGAGTAATTTCTAATGAGCTCATATTCTAACTTCTTTCTGGACAGGATATAATTTGTAGGAAATTGACACCAAAGGCTCACTGTGGACAACAAATGTATTAGCAACTGTAACAAACTAGAAGGCATATTCATATGCTTATTACCACTTTGTCTCATTTTAACAAGACAATTGTTAAAGACTGTGCAGAAAAAGTCAGTAAGACTGGCTAGTGAAACTTAGTTTATTGATAGTTACCAAGCAGTGACGTTAAATTGACTGAGAAAAACAATTTTTGGCTCCTAAGTGGTGGTGCGGTGGTTAAGGCACTCAGCTGCTAACCAAAAGGTCAGAGGTTCGAACCCACCAGCTGCTCTACAGGAGACAGATGACACTGTCTGCTTCTGTAAAGATTTAAAGCCTTGGAAACCCTTCGGGATTGCTATGATAATTACATAATTATCATAGTCATAATTGACTCATGGCAGTGGAATTTTCTGGGTTTTAAGGAACACTTAATCAAATGGATGTTTCAATTAATCCAATGTAAAAATTTACTAATCATGAAAATTTGAAAGTGGCTCAGTGTGCAAAGAAGCAATAACTTAGTAACAAAGCAATATATGTGCATTAATATTCATATTGTGGCTAAAAATAACATTCAATTCACTATGAAATTGGCTCTCATTCATTCTGATACTCTGTGCATATAAGGCTCTGAGATAAATAAAATGTAGGTTTTGATATTTTAAAAAAAACTCCTACAGTCTTAACAGAATTTTTCAGAACTGACCCTCAATAACTAGCCATGCTGGTTAGTACATAAAGGAAAAGAAAAGCTATGCTGTGAAAATACTAACCATTACCACCACATTTAGACAGAAGGAAAATATGCACATCAAAACACTAAACACTTTACGTACTAATACTACAACACCAAGAGTAAGTGAGAGTGAAGGATAATTGATTTCACAAAACATAGTAAGATAATTAAATTTGAGGTCAATTTTGCTTTAGGGTATCCAAAGAACTGAGACACTCAGTAATGAAATTGTTTTGTTTGAGAACAAACAAACCACCAAGGATTGCTAAAATAAAAGTACACAAACATGTATTAGGTTAAGAGTTACTAAAAACGCCATTTAGAGAGTAAATTAAATATCTAAGTGGGGAAAAGAAAAGCAATGAACAGATACAGAAAGGATCTAAAAATACATCAGAATATGAAAAAAAACCTAAACCTCATAAAATCTGTGAGGGTGATAATTTGATAATTTGTGGAATATTCTGATGCTGTCTACCTTTCATTACCAAAAGGGGATTAGGAAAAATGTGAAATAAAATTCTAATTGGTAAAGTCTGATACTTCTCAAAAGCTTGGATAAAATTTTAGTGTGGAAGAAGAATTGTTTTAACTTTTGAGATTATCTGTGAATTTTGACATTTCTGCTGAAGTTGTTTTCAATTCTAAAAAAATCTTTGCTGTAACACAATTGATCATTAAGATTTAAATGAAAAATAAATAAAAAAAGAACTTTCTGCCTAGTTCTGCTTCAAAATATAATGCATTTTAAGTTAAAAAAAACCTGTAAACCAACTTCCTATATGAATACAGAGAAGTCCATGACGATTTCAGTGTTTATAAGTAAACTAATACAAAAATAGTTGCAGCTCTAAAAAGCAGTTAAAAAAGCTACAGGGGAAAGTATGTTTATATCTATGCCCAGTAGTGATCACTGCTTTAAGCCAATTAAAATACTGGAAAATAGGATCATTTCAGATTTCATTTCTTTCTTTTTTTTGGAGTAAGCATTTTAGTATGGAAGCTGAAATTAATGACTACCTAAGTAATTCAAACTTCCTGATGTTATATGCTAAAAGTAGTTTTTAAAAATCTTACCAGCTTTTAAACATTAATTGCAGTTAGTGCTGAGATGTGCAATTTGAGGTGAACAGAAGAGAAATCAAAAGAAAATCCTTCCCACTGTTAGAATTATTCAGACAGAGTAAGCAGGCATCAGGAATCTATTTTAATGGTCTTAAACTCATTTAACTATAGGTTAACAATTTTATTAAGTGATAGCCAGCAATTTTGTTATAGTATTTTAAAGAAAATTTTTCACAATGTTTGTGTCTTTAATTTTACTATTATTGAACTATCTGAAATGTGCCAATAAACATTAATTCAGCTTAATTTCAGTGATTTTTCATTTCTTTTAATAATAATAAAAATACTGTTACAGTTAAGCATCACTTAAATTTTAGTACACTAAATATAACTGATAAATCTGAATTTGGGGGCAGAAAGTGATAAGCAATTATTCTTAAGATGATATGATGCAAGGACTAATAACTTTCTAAAGCAAAAATATGAAATAGTATGGTTTCAATTGTTGTCTATCACAAGCACGATTTACAGTTTCAGATAATTTCCTTCCAACGGAGCTCCACTGTTGTATGCCTGCAAAGCACAAGCTTACTTGAATTTTGAGAATAAAGTGGACCTCCATTAACATGAGGCTGAGCAGAGAACTGAGCAGTCACAGAAGGAGTTCGTCTGTATCCACCAGAAGATGTCGAAGAAGTGGTAGAGTTGTGCCGAGAAATCTGCCTGGTCATTGTGCCATACTGGGAACCAGGAGCTGAGCCCGGGGCTGCTGAAAAGCATTAGTCAAAGGCAACCAACAAAGAGACTTGAGCATTGGAAATCACCTCAGATGGCAGCACAGGAAAGGGGGACTCTCAAAAATATGTATTACTTTTTAAAGCCCACAGCACAAAATAAAGAGAAAAGTCTTAAACAGAAAAACAGAAAAATCAAAAAGCTCTACCTCACATGTTCAGAAGAGAAAAGAAAACAGACACTGGATGGGAAGCTACAAAAATAAGTAACATTCTTAAAGTCTTTTAAATAAGCATAATCTCAAATGCTATTTTACTAATATAACACATCAATTTTTTTCTTCTGTGTCATTTTAAAATACATAAGCTTTCACAGGTAGTCCCTGATTTACGATGGGGATCCGTTTTGATGACTCGGTTTTCATGTAAATAGAATACCTCTTATTTTAGTTTTCATTATTATTGCCTTTTATTATCACTACCTTTATAAATCCCATCTTTGTCTGTCTTTGGGGGTTGTGAACCTTACATATAAACTTACAAATATACTTTAACACTGAATGTAGTACATATTACTTACTATAAGATAATATAAGAAAAAAGAGATGGTCATAAGAGTAGTTCGTCATAATTTCAATATATTGTAAATCGAGGACTACCTGTACATATAAACTGTGTCTTTCAAACAGAGTAAGTACCAAAAGACAGTCTAAGGGGGAAAGCTTCACCTTTTAGATGTGAACGTATTAATGATATCTGCTTTACAAACTTCTTTCTTTCCACTGTAAAAATCTGCAAAAGTGTAAGAATCTATCTAGACAAATCCAGGTTAAATTATAAAACTTAATCTGTTAATAAGTATACTTCCCACATCTATTACTCCTCGGAAGGAAGGTAGGGCAATCTACTTTAGTAGTGATAGTGCCTCGGAAACCCAAGGAGGGGTCACTATGAGTCGGGTCCGATTCGACGGCACATAACAACAACAACATTACCATTTTTATTTGATTTGAATTTTTAATGGTATTAGCAGTTATTATTATCAATAGATATTACAGTAAAATCATTTGAAAACAATTACATATCATATTTGTGCATCTGTCAATTTTCAAGATGAATATACTTTTTCTATTTTTTTTTAGCAACTGACAAACAGGAAATTTTTAGATTGTGTAAATAAGGACATTTTAAGGCAGCTTGTTTTAGAAAATCCATTCTTTCTCTGTATCTGGAGGGCTCCTTTTCCATATTAGACACAAAGCAATCTGAATTTTTTTCAATTACTGTGCTCATCATATATCTAACAACATCTAAACTGACCAAAATACTAACAATACTTAAAAATTTATTCAATGTCAACTTTATCAACATTTCAGAGGTTTAATGTTTAAAAGGTTAACAGAGATAAAGCCTCTAAAGTTAACTATATTTTTAAAGTTCACTTCTCATTTATTATTTCCCCACCCAAAGATACCAAAGCATGAAAAGGTAAGTAAAATGACTGCATCCGACTTTATCCGTCATTTAGCTGTCTACTGCTTCCTAGATATCACACAAATCATTAGACAGAATTGTACAGCAGAGGTTGTTCATTGATAAGCATTGCTAATTATTTAACATTTTGGAGCTCCCAAGCCATAGTCAGTCACTTATTCTTTGAATCATTCACATGCTCACTTCCTAAATAGAAAAAGATTTTTTAAAAGAGTAGTCTAATCAAAACCTTCATGAATGTATAATTTTGGACAACTAGAGAGCTAAGAAGTAAGTTTTTAACTATATTGAATAAAAATCTCTGTAAAATATTTTTTCTATTTCTTGGATTTAAATAAAAAACATAAATTCTAAGCTATTTTTCTTGGTGATTCAAAGCTGAAAATCAACTGTTCACCAGTTCTAAACTATGCCTATTTTAAAATTTAATATTTTATTATGGAATAATTTCATATATGAAATGGTATATGAAATACATATAAACAATTTAAAGAAAAATACTGCTCAAGAAATACTATATTACCAATAGCATCAAAGATTCCTATGTGCTTCCTTTGAGATCCTTGATCTCAAACCCTACCACGTATGTCTTAAGTATACTCTTCCTTTTCTTTACAGCTTTACTACAGACATCTATATAGCCCTAAACAATACAGTTATGCAAATTTATGTACTTTATAATGGCAAGATTTTGTATGTATTCTGGTGACTTGCTCTTTTCCCTTGTTATTAATTTTAAGATTTATCCATGTTGATTAATATATCAATAGATCATTCATTTTCACTGCTTTATTTGTACAAAAAGTATACCACATTTATCCATCTACTATTATTAGATACCTGGGCTATAAGCCATATTTTTACTATTATTACTACTACTATTGTGAACATGCCTAAACGTGGTTCTCAAACTTCAGTGTTGATCAGAATTTCACTTTGAGGGGTTATTATCATAAATAAGTTGGGCCGCATTTCCAGAGTTTCAGATTTAGTAGGTGTGCATTAGGAACTGAGAACTGACATTTCTAACTAGTTCTCAGATGATGCTGATGCTGCTGGTCTAGGATTTACACTCTAAAAGCCATTACTGTAGAACAATGGCTTTCAAACTTTTTGGTTTGGGATCCACAACTTAAAAATCAGAGAACCTCAAAATGTTTCTGTTGATGTGAGTTGTATTTATCAGTAATTACCTTATTAGAAATTAAAACTGATACATGTTTAAAACATATGAATATACAAGCATATACTCCATTAGCCATCAGAACAATGATTATCACATACCATGTACATCTGGAAAATTCCACTGTACACTTGTGACAAAATGAGAATGAAAAAGGCATTTAATGTCTTAGTACTATTATGAATATAGTTCTGACTTCACAGATTCTGGGAAAGGATCTTAGCGACCCCCCAGGGGTCCAATGTCTGTATTCTGAGAACTAGTACTCTAGGATAAATATCTAGAAATGAAACTGACGAACCTACAGTAGGTACATGTTCAATGTAAGTAATAACAAATTACTTTCTAACGTTAACTATATCAACCACTAAATTCCCACCAATTGTATCAACTAATAAATATTTTCCTATCACTACATATCTTCACCAACATTTAATACTAGTGGACTTTTGTATTTTTACCTATCTGGTGGGTAAAAAATTTTATCTCACTGTGATTCTAATGTTCATTTTCCTGATCATTAATTAGGGTGAGGGCATTTTTATTCACATAAATGTTCTATCAACAATTTCTATTAATAAGATCTTTTTTTCACATATTTTCTTTCCTCTTTTCTTTTGTATATAAGTTCACATGTTGCTTTGAAAAGATGTTGTACAGCTTAGCTCTCATTACACATACTCCTCACTTAACTATCTCGTTATTTGACATTTCCCATTTACGGCAACAATAAAAAAATCTACTATCTATTTTGCCATTAATAACATATGTATGGCAGCAACAAACATCAAGGTGTGAGGTAAAAGTAACTCTGGTTGTGATGGTTAAGGTTATGTGTCCATTTGGGTAGGTTATGATTCTCAGTGGTTTGGCAGTAATATAGTGATGAAATATGGCAGTTATGTAATGATGTAATTTAGAAGTTAAGAAATGATGTAGTCATCCCTATTTTGTGATCTTATATTGTCCTCTTCCACTTTCACCTAAGGCCAATTTTCACACAATGCCCTGGTCTTAGGAACCTACCCATGTTGCTAAGCAAGGAGTGGTTATATCTGAAACATCTCATTATCCATCTATACCCAGAGATGATTATTATTGTATATTTCTAGGCTGAAGAGTTTTTATGCTGAATCTATACTTAGAATTCCTTATACTCTGAATCCAGCCATGCCCAATTGTGAATAATTTAAATGCATTTTATTCAGAAACCTGTTTTACAGCATCCTCAGATGTCATAAAAACTAGGCTGTATCAGTTTTTCACACTGTGATCTGTGGGAAAACCTTCAAGCACCCAACACCACACATTATTTTCCTTTCCATTTTTCTTCCTCCTGTCCCAACTTTCACCCCAATCCCTTGACTGTTATATATACCAGGGAGTTCCAAATCAAGTTTCACTTGAAAAGAACAACAAGAAAATAAGATTACATTACTAATTTTAAAAAAGTTTTGAACAATCACTGCTATAATTTTCCTAGAAAAATCTAAACAAATGAGAAAAACACATTAAGCTGGTAATAAACCAAGTCTGAAAACATTTCACATTATAGAGAATGTTATATTTGCAATGTAACTTCAGAGGCCTTTTCACCAGAAGAAATTAGTATAGATTAAATACTTTAACCTTTTGTATTACCACCTACAACTTGCTAACTATAAAAGCTAATAGTCTATTACATACAGAGGAGTTATGAATTATGCAAAGTTAAGTTAAATGACTCCAATGGTTATGCAATCTCACCTATCACAGTGTTCACTGGGAGAAGTGGTGGAAGTGGTGGTGCTGGTGGAGCTTCAGAAGGAGGAGGGACAGAAATGTTTTCTAATAAAATAGTTTATAATTCAGGTCAGGGTGCAAGAGAGAGAACTAAACATTCTGAAATAGTAAGAAAGTACAATGTATGCAAAAGAAAAGAAAATGACACAAGCATATGTAAGGCATGTTCAGATGAACAAGTTTTACCAGGTAAGAAGGCCATTGAGCTTATACTTGCATATAAACTACATCTGTATTTATAAGTAGCTTTTTCTCCTTTTTCAACAATATCTTAGAATTTTTTCCCTGACAGTTCTGATTATCATACTTCTAAAATTTTTATTTTTAATAGTGCAAGAAGTTATTTCATTTACTGAAAATCAAGGGGCTAATTTAATGTTCTGTGATGATTTCTTAAACTTTTGTACTTTCTAAAGAGTAAAATACATTTCCTATTTTAATTTAATTTTAAAATCATGGCACTTCACTAAAATATGCACTGAATATCATACATAAAAATAGTAAAGTCACATAATAAGATAATACCAGAAGTGAGATACTAGTCTAATAGGCAATATTAAAACTCTCTGAAACATAATTCACATTTATAGACACTGATCCTTTGGTTGGAGCATCATATAATATTGATTTGTTCTTGCAATAATAAAAATCATTCTTGACCACTACACAAGGCAACTATTTCTAAAGCAAAATGGCCAAAAAGTCATTTAATAAAGTCATTTAACACACTTTATATGTAAGGAAAAAATGACAAAATTCAAAAGCCTTTGTGAAAATGAATCTAAAAAGAATTGGAAATGTTATTAGCTTTTATTCTGGCAACAATAACATAAATTTAATAGACAATTTTATCCAACATAACTTTAAATGTTTGCAGCCTTCCATCATAAAGCTCATAAATATTCCTACATATTAAAAATAGATTAATAAATTATGCACCTGGTCCAATAGTGGGTGGTGAAGGTGTAGGCACGGCAATGGGAATGCCAATACTGCTGCTTCCACTGTTCTCTCGACTTCCACTTCCTCCACTACTGCCACTACAAAGAAAAGAAAAAATTAGGGATAAAAACAATTCTCAAGATTTATCAAAAAAAACCTGCTAATAATCTAAGACCACTAAAAACTCCTCTTATGATATATATGTATATATAATATATGTTATATATATATATATATATATATATATGTAATTTATAAAGTGTTCATTATAAATCTGAACCTTAATATCTGAAGTAGTTCGTTTGTTTCACTCTACTTCTCAATCTATATGAAAACCAATGTGATTAAACATTGTACTCTGAACTGTCAGAAGAGATCACCTTGACAAATGTATTAAAAAATTATTACCAATAAAATTTTATAGTATGGTCAACAAATGTTTATTTAGAATCTACTATGAACAAGACAACATGATCCACATTGACATGGAGCAGCTCATAGATGAGCACAGGAAAACAGACACTAAAGAAGTGTGAGGGATGGTATAAAAGAGAATGTACAAGATGCTATGGAAGTAAATTAAAAGGGAAAACAATCCTAATATGAAATTAACATGAAAACTTCCTCTCACCACTAAGAAAGATGATAAAATGGAAATTTCCTGGAAAATGGTTATAATGGCATAAATGAAAGTAGTATAATTTCAGGGTAGGGCATTCTGGAATAGTCATGACTGTTAAACTCTAACCAACTCCCTACTGCTCCTACTCACCACTTAGGTGTAAGACTCCTCACTATCTAGTAAAGGAACGGGTGTATGCACACACATATGCACAATATTATGTTTCAAAATCAACATCATTTGCTAAGTCCACAAACAAAAAGAGCAAAGGTTTTTCAATACTGTTTTCTGCCACCATGGCATTACAGACATTAAGAATATTTTTTGCACTTATTATGCTCTAGTGCAATTATCAGCTTACATGATCTTTTCTAGCATGAGAATTGGTGAACTATGGCTCATGGGTCAAATCTGGCCCAATGCCTGATTTGGACAGCCTGTGAACTAACAACATTTTCTTTTGTTTTTACCTTTTGTAAATGGCTGGGGAAGAAATCAAAAGCAAAAGCAAAATCGTATTTTGTGACACATTAAAATTACATGAAGCTCAAATTTCAGTATCCATAAATAAAGCTTTATTAGAACATAGTCATGCTTATTCATTTATATATTGTCTATGACTCCTTTTGCATAAAGACAGAACTGCAACAGAGACCATATGGACTAAAAATTCTAAAGTATTTACAATCTGGCCCTTTGTAAGAGAATTTTGTTGATCCCTGTTAGAACAAATTGAGCTTCCTAAAAAATGAACTATATCTTATTTATTAGTTAGTATATGCCTCATGTTTAATGAAGGAATTCTTAGTAACTGGTTATTTAATATGATTAAACTACTACTATTTGCACTATAGAGAAACATCATTCTTTCAATCTAACACGTCAATAGTAACAAAGATGGAGAGAGAACAATTTCATCCTCAGTGCACTTGACCTGATATAGTATCTACAGATATCAATATAACAATTTATTTACTAATAGCCATAGCAACAATACTACTAAAAGTTTGATTATACCCTATTTAACTGAATCTCCAAAAATAGTTTTGTTAAGATATTAATTCCAATTTACCAACCTAAAACTCAAGGTTAATACAGGTTACTTCCCCAAGGTATTAAGTGAGGAATGAAACAGACGAATTAAACAAATTAAGACATATAATAAAATTTGTCTCGTTTTATAGAAGTGCTCAAAAACTGAAATGGTTTCTCTTTTGGGGAAGAAGATAAAGGCTATACTTGAGCCATGAGAAAGGCTCCTAGTTTACTAGTAATGTTCTACTTTCTCATCTGGGTGATGGTTACATGGATGTGTTCAATTTGTATTGTTCCATCAAGGTATATACTTAATAAGGTATATACTTTTCTAAACATATGCTAAGTTCCATGTTCAACTTTTAAGAATTACCTTCTGGGTAGATGATTTCTAGAATTTTTTTTAAAACAATAGATTCCATTATAACAACTCTTATAAGTAATTCTTCCTCAGATCTAAGCTAAGTCTTCTTTCATCTATTCTCGCACTTTGCATAATTTCGGTGACATTTAACCTTTTGTCTAAAAATATTTAAGAGTGGTTACTACTCTTTTTTCAAAAGACTGTTAAAAAACCTTTAGCCTTCATCCAAATATACACCTGTACCTCTGTCAAAAGGAGAGATAACTAACAATCTGTTAATAACAAACATAGATATAAAAACCTGAAACACAGAAATTTTGGCAAAAATTTAAAGAACATGTATGATATTACTGCCCTCCCTTTTATATTCTATATTAACAAAAGAGTAGTACTTTACCTTTACTCAGCACCAGTTTGTGAAGAGTAAATTACCTCCACTGTCAGGTGTTCAAATGTTCGACCCCAAGGTTTACCTGTGTGTCCTTGGTCTCTGATTTAAAGAAGCTGTCCTGCCTGGACTATGCTGACTTCCAAGCCTAGCAGGACTCGTCATATAGTCATTAGGAACTGTTGGGGGTTTAACAGGTTCCAGGGTTTTGTAAGGAGTATTCCGTCTAAAGGACATAACAGAGAAAAGAATAATGGATGAGAGATAAAATAGTATTTTTCCCAAAATTTGTGATTCTTTGTGATCAAATGCAACACAGTAAAATAATAATGATAATAATATTAATAATAATAAAAATTAAAATGCAGTTGTAATTGGGATTTATCGATTTTGTTACTGTAACATAAAACCTAAAATTTGTTACCTTTTCTTAGGATAATTTGGGATTTCTGGTGGCATAGTGCCTAAGGCATTTATTTGACTGTTCTCCAGAAGGCTGGTGGTCCAAACCCACCAGCCACTCCTCAGAAGAAAGATTGGGCAACCTACCTCCGTGGAGATGTTGTAGTTGTTTTTATTTGCCGTGGAGTTGGACCTGACTCATGGCGATCCCTCTTTGGGTTTCCGAGGCAGTATCACTATGGAAGTAGCTTGCCCAACCTTGCTTTTGAGGAGTAGCTGGTGGGTTTGAACCACCAGCCTTCTGGTTAGCAGTCAAGTGCCTTAGGCCTTACGCTACCAGAGCTCTGTAGAGTTAATGCCTCAGAAACCCAAGGAAGGGTTGTTATGAGTCAGGATCGACTCACCGGCAATGAGTTTGGTTTTGTTTTTAGGATAATTTAAAGTCTCAACCCTATTTCCAAAAATAAAGGCGATAATTTTTTAAATGCTTGAACATATCAAACTTTGAAATATATATTATTCCCAGCTCAGTACACATAAACTACTGTCTTTTACATTATGGAAGCCAAATATCCTTTACAATTTATTCCTACTTCAATATGGAAATATATGGAGAAGGACATTCTGATCCTAACTGTGATACCATCAAATTCTCAATAAATGATTTTTACTTCTTTATTTAATAACTTCACATGCTTTTCAAGGGGCAGGGGAATTTACAGAATAACATTTACAACTAAGATCCTCAAAAAAGTTTATTGTTGATCCCTGTTACTACACAGTAACGATATCTCTCCACCAAAAACAAGAAACCTAATATAATAGTTTCTAAGTTAAGGTGAACAATCTTCAGAAATGTCTGCTCAGTGTTTTTATTATCTTAGGAACTGAGAAGAAAAAAGCTACCAACTTTTACCTTGTCTACTTCCCCAACTGGCCTTCCTACAAAGCCACTCTAGCATGAAGGGGCCTAAACCTCCCAACAGAAGCACAGTTAGAAGCACTCCAGGTGAGAATCCTGAAATCTCAGGTGCCAACTAATAAGGAAAGCAAAAGGGCCACAGGCTACCAAGCCAAACTACATACAGTAGACCACTTATTCAAAGTCTATAACAAACATAAATATTGTAAACACATTTGAAAGCATCACATGAATGCTCTGGTCATATCATATGATAAAACTTATTATCAGATTTATACTTTAAAAAGTGAATTCTAGAACAAAAATAAATAATCCTCATTTATAAATACATAAAAGGACTTTTCTAGCACAGACTTCTATAGAGAACATTATAAATATTCTATAAATGTAAACAGAGAATATATTATACTATAATTCTGGATTCTGCATAGGGAAAAAAGAACCAAAACGAGCCTGTATGTAGTAGAATCACATGGACAGGGTCCCAAGGAAAGGATCCATATCTTTACTTAAATAAGAAAAATATCTTTTCCTTTAACTTACAAATTCTCTTATAAAAATGTCACAGAATTCTTACCCCAATGTTCCCCGGCCTGACATGGGAGGACTTGGTGGTTTCTGAGTAGGAGGATTTGTTCTCGACAGTGTGCCAGTTCTCGCAGGCTGGTTATTTCCATGCTAAAATGTGGAAAGAAAAGCTCTTATTTTTATATCAAATTGTTCTCTTGGTGTTTTGACATAATGTATTATTTTTTTTAATATCAGAATGTGAAGTGAGGATTCCCAGACAGTTTTAATGCAAACTTTAGTACTACATTTTAAAAAGTAAAGAAACCTTTTGTATTTCGCCTTTCCTATTATTTTGTGCCATTCATACCAATTTATGGAAAAATACAGGTAAGATTACTGAGGTTTATGTATTATTTTATTGTTAAGTGTATTCACTGCAATCAAAATTATTTGCATTCAAATACTGTGTCTCCTAAAATATTTGAGAAAAACAAAACCTTTCGCAACTGAGTTGATTGTGACCTAAGGTGATCCCATGTGTCACAGAGTAGAACTGCTCCACAGTTCTCTTGGCTGTAATCTTTATGGAAACAGATCACCAGGCTTCTCTTTCATGGCACTGCCGGGTGGGTTCAAACCACCAACCTTTAGGATAGTGGTCAAGCACAGACTGTTTATGCCACCCAGGAACCTAAAAACAATTGTTTTTGAAATGTGTACATAAATATCAATCACTGATTCTACTATGTGTTTAAATATCTATCTAAAGAATCATTTTAATTCTAATGAGTAACAAAGTCACATATGATGTCTGGGAAACCTCCTAATTTTAAGTCAATAAAAGCAAGGCAACTATCAAAAAATGAGTGAAGCAATAAATGTTAGAAAAATTAATGTTCCTATATAAATGCAGATGTCAATATATCTTTGATATATTAACACATCCAAGGCTGAACGTTGCTGATTTGAATTGAGTTTGAGTTTATTTTTTCTACATACATCCTATGGAGAAAAAGCAGACAGACATACGAAGAGTTTTCAATTTTAGTGGCTCTGCAGCCTCTATCAATATAGAGGAAATACTGTGGATCAAAGGATAAATGATGTCTCTTACCTTGGCTTTTAGCCACTTTACGTTGGCAAAAAAGGGGGAAAAAAGTAGAAATTAATTCTAAATAAATTATATCTGATATGACAGATTTACATTTATAATTATTTAATACATGTTAAAAAGTTTTTACCCAGTAGTATTTCAAATATTTTATAAGGAAATAGTTACTCATAAGCAGTGGAGAAGTATTCCTGTGTTTCAATATTTTTCAAAAGAATATATTCATAAGGAAACCACCAATTAATAATGCCAACTTAATGGAGGCCCAATAATTTCTTAGGTCGGTACTTTACACTATGTTGTTGTTATGTGCTGTCGAGTCGGACCTGACTCATAACAACTCCTCCTTGGGTTTCCAAGGCAGTATCACTACAAAAGTAGATGGCCCAACCTTCCTTCCGAGGAGTGGCCGGTGGGTTTGAACCATCAGCTTTCTGGTTAGCAGTCACAGATGATTTTTTAAAAATATGTTTTGATTTAAGCAGAAACAGTATTCTAACACTTCAGATGCAAGGTTATTTTAATACATCAGTGTATAAGACCTAAGACTTTACCAGATTATGAATGCAAACTTGTGAGTATTCATTACTTGAATGGTAGTACACCTACTCCTCACTTATCAACCATCTTATTTTCTGACATTTCTCATTTACAACAACTGCAAAAAATCTACCATCCTACTATTTTGCACATTAACAGCATATATCTGGCAGTAACCTGGCAGTGATGGTCAAGATTATGTGGCAACTTGGCTGGGCCATGATTCTCAGTGGTTTGGCAGTTATGTAATGATATAACTTGGCAGTTATGCAACGACTGTCATCCTCCCTTTTATGATCTGATGTAGTCACCCTCCATTTTTGCATAATGCAGATTTTCACCTAATGACCTTGGAACCTAACCATGTGATAAACTGTAAATGTCAAAATTCAAAATCATAGCTTGCCCTCAATTCAGAAAGAGACCTAGCACTGCAGTGTTTAAAATGAAATCACTGTGAACAATAATATCTTAGCCAAATTCTAACCAAGGAATAAATAAGGAGGGTCCAGGAAACCCTTTCATTTCTAACCGATGAACCCAATCCTCAGCAGCCCAACACAAGTTTATAGGTTGCATTAGTTTTCAGTTTTGCTTTTACCCACTTTAGTCAAGATTCTAAACTGAAGTAAATGTGCTTTGATCGTAAAGGCTACTTCTATGAAAGATGACTATCTATATAAATGAAACAATGTGCACAGTCCTAAAGCATCACTTGTACTATCCCATTGCTATCAAGTCGATTTCAAGTCTTGGTGACCCCACATGTGTAAAGAAGAACTGCACTCTAAAGAACTTTCAAGGCTGTGACCTTTTAGAAACAGCTCACCAAGCCTTTCTTGGAAGGTACCTCTAGGTGGATTTGAGCTGCCAACTTTTCATTTACAAGTCAAAAGCTTAACCCTCAGCACCACCTAGGGATTTGTACTATACCACTCAGGAGACAACATCTTGGGGTTCTACAGTTACAGGTCTAATCTTCTTACAGATTTTTTTTTCAGTTTCAGGTTCTTTGTGTAACATTTGCTATTCTAAATATGAATCTATCATCTTTGGGGTGACTATAAAAGCAACATTAAGGAAATGATCCAAACGAAGATTTTATTTTGCATTAGACATATTTTCATTCATAGAAACTTAACAGAATTGTTATATTCTTTAATTTTTGTTTAGAGTAATATTGCTTATTTCTATCAGAAAAAAAGTATATAAGACCTTACCCAGCCTTTACATTTCACATCTGGATTTAGAAAACTAAATCTGTATAACAATTGTTAGGCTCCTTGAAGACAGTATATACTAATGTGATAGCATTACAATACATTAAATACTACTTTGAAAAAAGAAAATACTCTAAATATTACCACACATTTTCTCTCATTTGTTGTTTAACATGAACAAGAAACAAACCAAAACAAAAAACAAAAAAACCCACAACTATCATTCAAGTATAGGTTAGTCTCAAATGAGGAAATGAAAGGAGAATCAGATTAGAAATGAAAATTCCAGTCGAACTCTGCCACTACGCAATCTATGTAACCTTCAACCTCTTATAGGGCTCAGTTTCCTACTCTACCAAGTGTTGTTTGTGTGTGAAAATGTGTCGGGGTACAAATGTCTTGGTAGGAAATAATCTCTGTATTTTACAGCTCAAAATATAGGTTGTTTAAAAAAAAAAAAAAAAAAATTACAAGATTTTTTTCATTTAAATGTCCCCAAAACATATCCAAAATTAGACTGCTTTTTTCCCTAAAGTCTCACTTCATTTCCTTATCATATATGTTCCTGAATGAGTAATTTTTCCATTCCCCTGCAATCTTAGCTTGAAAACAATAAAATTCTCTTTGATTTCTCCCTGTTTTCTATCCTCAAGATCATAAGCTTCTCATCCCATAGGTACTAAATGTTTGTTGCATTATGCAAAGGTCAATTCTTTGTTCGAAATATTTATTGGCTTACTCCTCTAATTAACAAATAGAAAGCTTTTTAAAAATATCATTTCCTTCAGGGGGCAGAAATGTATAAGAACAAACCACAGAGGAAGGAGGTAAGTACAGGGAGGAAGTGGAAAGAGAGCTGTTACACTGTGGGGAACTGCAGTCAATGTCATGAAACAAAATGTGTATGAACTGCTATATGAAAAATGGATTTGCTCTGCAAATGTTCACCCAAATCATATATATAAAATTTCCTTTCCTATGTACATATTTGGAGCTCTGGTGGTGCAGTGCCTAAGGCATTTATTTGACTGCTAACCAGAAGGCTGGCAGTTCAAACCCAACAGCCACTCCTCGGAAGGAAGGTTGGGCAATCTACTTCCATAGTGACACCGCCTCGGAAACCCATGGAGGGGTTGCTATGAGTTAAACTGACTTGACAGCAGTGAGTTCGGTTTTGGTTTTATATATATATTATAAAGCTTTACTGCCTCCAGTAATAAAATAAAACAACTCCTAGATCTTATGGTATTTTTGAATTTCAAAAACAAACAGAAACATATAAAAGAAAAGTACTTTGTAAATTCTGAACCAGGCTATAAAACTGTTTATTATTACAACTTATCAAAACTAAATTTAAACTTCTCTGCTACACATTTGAGTCTCTATCCCACCTTATTCTGAAATCTTATGCAAAATCTCGTATAAGATTCATCTTTCCATTCTGTCTCACGCCTATGCTGCTCTGATAATTTCTCTGTCCTGGAATTCTCTTATTCATATCTTATACTGTTTCCAGAAATCAAGTTAAACATCCTTAGGATATTTTTTCCATAGTCTTAATTCCTACTAAACTTATAAATATCATCTATTTCATAGCATGAAATGCATCAGCAAAGTAAATGCTATTTAATAGAAACGCAGATATATCATATACAAATACACTAAAAATTACATCACAAAGGAAGAAAATATGATGGAATATTAATCTCGGACTGTGCAAAATGTAAGCATAATGTTCCAACTTTCTATGTAACATGCCAGCATGAAAGTGAAGGGGAGATACTATTAGTCTCAGAGAAGAGTAGAGTAAGTGTTATCAACTATACTCCCTTCAATCAAGAACCCCAGAAATGCAGAATACTACAGATCTAGCAATGTCACCAGTTAGATCAACTAGCTAGAAAAAACTTCAAGATTCTAGTTGACCCCATTTAAAAATTATTGAAAAATATTCTGTAGAGCAAAAGCAAAATCTAATAAAGTCTCTAGAAAAGAAACCAACAAGTATCAAAGTTACTTTATCCTAAGCAGAGATGGCTGAAGAATTTAGATCATTCCACCACACACAGGTTTAGCAGATGATATTCCAACATACATATTTGTATGTGCTATAAAAATGTCCATATGAAGTATAAAGCTAAATAGGGCAAGATTAAGATAAATTCCTAGCCACTGAGTACCCTGAGGGAGTGAGTCACTTGTCCTGTGGGCTCAGGTCCATGGTCATGGGGGATGACACATCAAGTTCAACTGGCACAAAAACACTGTTCTACATCTTAACTTTGGTGAGCAGAGACTAGAGCCCTAAAAGCTTACAAGCAGCCATCTAAGATGCAACTATTGGTCTCTCCTTGTCCAGCAAAAAGAAGAGTGAAGAATATCAGAGATGCAGGGGAACAGCCCAAAAGACTAATGGACCATCTGAGAACTTCAGCCTATATGACCCTGAGACTAGAAGAACTAGATGGTACTCTGCTACCAATGCGAACCACACAGAAAGTGATCAAAAGTAGAGATCCTGGATAGGGTGGGAGAAAAAAATGTGGAGCAAAATTAAAAGCATAAAAAGACCACGTTTAACGGTCAGATATACACTAGAGAAACCCCTAACACAATGGCCCCCAGTCACCCTTCGGGCCTGGAATCAAACTCACTTCTGTGGCTTAACTTACAACCAAACAAGAGACAGGGCTATGAGCCCATCAATTACACCAAGGGAGATGCACATCTTAGAACAATCAACTATGGGAGATTAGAAGGGCAGCATTTGCACAGAGAAAAAGGTAGGGAAGTAGGAATGCACAGGGAAGGAAACAGGAAAAGGGTAACCACAAGAGATTAAATAGGAGAACAGCTGTTACACGTGAGAAATATAATCAGTGTCACAAAGCAAAATGTGTATGAACTGCTGAATGTAAAACTACTCTGCTTTGTAAAGTTTAATTCTGCCCAAATCACAATTTAAAGTTTTAAATAATAATAATAATTCAGGTCATTCTAGATGCTTGCAATATGATCCATCAATACACAAAAGTTACAAGAGTACAGGCATCCTTCAAGATCACCTACCTGTACCATTCTAAGAAACGGACATGGGTAACATATAATCTTTCTCTCTAAAAGTCTGTTGAGGTGGGGAGTGCACAGACAAAGCTATATATAATTTTGATTTTTTAAAGTCACTAGAATTACATCAGAGATACATGTATCTGTATACACATAAAGAATAAAAGTATAAAAATACCTGTGATTTTGTAAACTAATTCTGAAACATACACACTTTTTTATTTTATATTCATTCAACAGTAAAAGCAAAAGATGGCACCACAACACAAATTTATGACTAGTCGAGGATTCAAATGGCTTATTTAGTGAGTATCCATTTCAAGTTTTAATATTGTCTTGACTACAGCCCATTCTACAGGTACAATTTTGCCCCAAGTTTAGTATAAAACAACTAAATATTCAAAAACTACTTTATGTAAATTAAGCCAGTTGCTAGTTAATCAGAATTTACTAAGAAAACTATCACCATATCTCCTATACAAAATAACTGTTAGATATGCAAATTAATTCGAGTTAACGTGATATAGAAATGCTTACCTTGACACCATGGCCCACATCATCCAAAACTGTATAGTCGATAGGTTTCCGAATATACCTTACAGGGCGTTCCATATTTGCAGGTGCTATTATTTTGTGCGTTCTTGATGTATTCTTATTTGTTGTCAAAATACCAATCTCTCTTCGAGCCACTTTTTCTTTATGAATGTCCACAGTCTGTATTTTAAATTTGAACAATGTAAGAAATATTATTTGGCATAGTGAATAATATATGTGATGTCACAACTAGGTTGGGCAATAGGACTGTACTGTATGTCTATTTGCCAGTGGATACTTTGTCTTTTCTAAATTAAACAAATTATCCTTAAGGCTCAAAACAGAGAAATGTGATTAAAAAGCACCAACTAATTTAATGGATTTGATCCTAAACGATTCTCAGGCAGGAAATGTTCTTTCCTAAAGGTCTGAATGGGAGAATAAGGGTGCAGCTTACGAAAAACAGCCCTGTTCTACTGAAGAGCTTTTACTTTATTTACTGGACATACAGATTAGAAGGGAGCTCTGGTAGCATAGTGCCTAAGGAACTTGACTGCTAACCAGGAGGCTAGCAGTTCAAACCCACCAACCACTCCTTGGAAGAAAGGTTGGGCAATCTACCTCTGTAGTGATACTGCTTCGGAAACCCAAGGAGGATTCACTATGAGTCAGGTCCGACTCAACAGCACATAACAACAGCAGCAACGACATAGATCAGAAAAAAATCAGTAATTACAACACAATGAGTTAAGTACTACAGTCCTACGTGTATGACTTATGTGAAAGTATTATAAAACTGTGTGAATCATAACAAACTATGGATAATATTGAGAAGAATGGGAATTTCTAAACACTTATTTGTGCTCATGAGCAACCTGTACATAGACCACGAGGTAATTTACTCAAACAGAACAAGGGGGCAATACATGATTTAAAAATCACAAAACATGTAAATCAGGGCTGTATCTTTTCACCATACTTATTTAATCCGTAAACTGAGCAAATAATCGGAGAAACTGGACTATATGAAGAACAATACAGCATCAAGATCGGAGGAAAACTCATTAACAAACCTGCGATATTCAGATGACACAACCCTGCTTGCTTAAAGTGAAGAGGACTTGAAGCACATACTGAAGAAGATCTAAGACTATAACCTTCCATATGGATTACAATTCAACATAAAGAAAACAAAAATCCTCACAACTGAACCAATAAACAACATTACGATAAATGGAAAAAGACTGAAGGCGTCAAGGATTTCATTTTGGAAAGTATGGATCATTATTGATCCATAATCAATGCCCATGGAAGCAGCAGTCAAGAACTCAAATGACATACTGTATTAAGCAAATCGCTGCAAAAGAACTCTTTAAAGTGTTAAAAAGCAAAGCTGTCACTTTGAAAAGGAGTTCTGGTGGTGGAGTGCCTAAGGCATTTGACTGCTAACCAGAAGGCTGGTGGTTCAAACCCACCAGCCGCCACTCCTCGGAAGGAAGACTGCCAATCTACTTCCATAGTGATACTGCCTCAGAAGGAAGGGTCGCTATGAGTCGGATCCGACTAGATGGCAGTAAATTTGGTTTTGGTTTTGGTTACTTTGAAGACTAAGTGACCCAAGTGATATTTTCAATCACTTTATATGCATGTGAAAGCTTATAATGAGTAAGACTGAAGAAGAATTTGAAGGGCTGTGTTTCATTCTGTTGTATGTAGTGGGCTGCTATGAGTCAAACTGACTCTATGGCACCTAACAAGAACTACAACAGCTAAGAGAAAGGCAGGATCTGAACTGAATGGGAAAAATAAAAAGGTATTATCAGAAAAGAATCAGGCTTAATGTTATATGTAGAAAAGATCTTTTAAGATTCTGCCTTATTTCACCAGAATTTTAATCAACTGATTTGGAAAAGAATCTATAAACACAGATGTTCCCCAAGCTCTAACTCAAGGCATAGGAAGTGCCTAAGGCACTTGACGGCTAACCAGAAGGCTGGTGGTTCAAACCCACCAGCCACTCCTCGGAAGGAAGATGAGGCAATCTACTTCCGTAGTGATACTGCCTAGGAAACCCAAGAAGGGGTCGCTGTGAGTCGGGTCTGACTCCATGGCAAATAACAACAACAACAACAACATAGGTTTCTAGTGTTTCTGCACATCTTGTAAGATAGGACAGTAACTCCTTTTGTCATGGATGTTGATACAGTAAACAGCCCAGAAGAGAGAGAGAGAGAGTCAGTCTCCCTGGAGAGCAAAAGGCAGGTTTATTTACTGTTTAGTATAAAGTTTCCCTGCACAGGAAAGATCAGGAAGGCATGCTGCCCATTATAAAATGTTTTTGGTCCCCTAAACTCAGAGTCTCTGTCTGTCTTTCCTCCAGTGCACCTCACTATGTGTGCAGGTATCAGCTGGATCCCTATGTAGTACCACCCTGTAGACATCAGAGTTTGGTTAACTGGCACAAATGCTGACATTCTGGTTAATGCTATCACCATGAGTAATGAAGTTCTTTGTCTGGAACCAAGGAGTCTTATGTTTTACAGCACCCATGAAATTATGCCAGGCTAATTTTTTAGCTGCAAAAAGGGTAAATCTCAGAACACTCACAATTTTTGACACTTTTGTGGATAGAACACTGAAAAAGACAAGACAATCTAGAATAGGAAGGAAAGGCTGGTTAACAGAGCTTGAGAGAAGTTCTTGGGAACTGTGAGTGCAGATGTCCACCAAACTGTATGGTCAAACTAGGAAATAAATAATGTTCTACTTTACTCCCTGTTAATGAGGCTGAAGTGAATTTCAGGCTAAGTACCAGAAAGTAGTTTCAAAGACAGCTGCCTGCATAATGTCTGGTTATTGCCAACCCTCCCAGATGGGAAACTTCCTCACCAAGCTGACAGTCAACCTCATCATTCTGCCCCAGTGAACAATTAGTACTAAGATGTGTGTATGTGTGTGTGGCAGAAGATTCTGTCCTCCTTCAGACAACAGATACAAACACTGCTTCAGAGAGACACAACTCCCATACCAAGTGTTTTCGTTCTCTAGTGCTGCTACAACAGAAACACCACAGGTGGATGACTTTATCAAACATGAGTTTATTCACTTACAGTTTAGGAAGCTAGCTAGCAGTCTGAGTTCAAAGGGCCATTTCTAGGGGCTGGGTGAAAGCCCGTTAACCTTGGACTTCAGCTCTGCCTCTTGCTCCCAGCCCACTGAAGCTGCAGGCTTCTCTTAATTCAGGCAGCTGCTGGCTGCTAAAGCTGACAAACCCAAGGTCGATTAAGTCAAATGGCACACCCAAGATTGGCAGGTAACATGGCAGACCACTGGTTCAAGTCCAGGAACAATCCCAAGATCGGGAGGCAACACAGCAGGCCACTGAGATGAAGACTCGGCCAAATGCCTGATCTAGCTGTACCAAAAAGCTAGAGACCTTGCTCAAAGCTTCTCCTTATATACTGGAAACAGACCACACCCGTAAGGCAGCTACTCAGCTGTAGATTCCACCACAGAGTTGCTTAGCAGTCTCATCATAGGAAATAACTACATCCAGCTGCCCAGCCACTCAAAACCAGGCCTAGCCTAGCTGACACACAACCTCAACTACCATACCAATCATGAGGGGAAGAATATTCACAATCACAATGTGCATAAACAGGATCTCTGGTGGTACAGTGGTTAAGACATTCTACCGCTCTGGAGGAGAAAGATGTGACAGTCTGCTACAGTAAAGATTTGTTGTTGTTGTTGTTATGTGTTGTCAAGTCGGCAACAACTCATAGCGACCCCTTCTTGGGTTGCTGAGGCAGTATCACTACAGAAGTAGATTGCCCAACCTTTCTTCTGAGGAGTGGCTGGTGGGTTTGAACCACCAGCCTTCTGGTTAGCAGTCAAGTGCCATAGGCACTATGCTACCAGAGCTCCCAAAGTAAAGATTTACTGCCTTGGAAACCTTATGGGGCAATTCTATTTTGTCCTATAGGGTTGCTATGAGCTGGAATCAACTCCAACATAGGGAGTTGGGTCTTATATGGGCTGACCAGGTGAATCTTTAGCTTTGGCTAGTTTGTTCGGAACAAGAGATGGCAGAGCATGTAATGCTTTTTAAAGAAGAATGGCAACAGCTGGCTTAGGGCTCATACCTCTATCAGTCTTTCATGTCAACAATAGATCTTTTCTAAAAGCAAACCAAAAATCAAACCCACTGTCAGGGAATCAATTCTGACTCATAGATGACAGTAAAAGGCTTAGTGTTTTTTTTGCAGTGGGTCCTATCTGCTATAAGGGAGCTTGGGCTGAGACAAACTCCTATGGACTTACCTTCTGGCTCACTGTATTGAATGGTATTTAAAATGCTCATGAAGGTGATTCATTGGAGAATGTGAAACTAACCCAGAGAAATCTAGATCAATTCTTGCTGTGAACCCTGAGGCCTTAAAAACTCACTAATACTATGCTGCAATCAAGCAAGAATTTGAGATGTTAACCTAATAATGGAGCAGCAAATGTTCTGCAATTATGTGGACTCCTAAAAAAAAGTAGTCACATTAAGATGGACTCCTTAAAAAAAGTTGTCATTGTGTAGATAAAAGTGTGAGTCTGCCAAAAAGTGCAAACCCATGGCCCCAGGCAGCAATGTGGCTGTAGTTGTTGAATCAAGACATCTCCAAACAGAAATGGACAGTGCCACCAATGATGATCTCGACACATAACACAGGGTTTTAGGTGGCCTAAAAAAAAAAAAAAAACCTGATTCTCTTGTTGGATTCCATGGTCTTAAATCATAACGATAATGATCACTTGATTAAGTATATTACTCATCATATCACTCTTTGACTACAAGTCTCTTTGAGTACAAGTCTTTGTAATGTGTAAAGGGTCTTTGGCCCATGTGGACCAAAGTGAAAGACATAATCGATCTCTGTAAGTTTAATAAAAATGCCCTTGTCCCTTTTGCACATGACCTTTTCAGATAAAAGGTATAGGTACAAGTCAGGGATGATTGGGGAAAAAGAAAGGAAAATTCAGCTACTGGCAAGGGATACACTGATTTTATAGCAGCGGAACAATCTTGGTATCTATGGAAGAACACCTTAGATCTACTGGAGGTAAGGAAGAAAGAGGAACATTAATGATCTCTGTTTTCCTCAAACTCCCCTGGAGCTTTCTTTACAAAG